TCCGTGGCACAAAAAAGGTTGGAGACCGCTGATTTAGAAGACAGAATACATGTGTGTGAATGAGAGGGAGGCAGCTGAACATGCAGGAGCAGAAATGGTGACGGTTTAACATCACAGGACAGAGTGCAGGCAGGGTGGAGCGGGTGGAGGCAAATGTGACTGAAGGATAGCAGCAAGAGTGAAAGGGAAGGTTCAAGGATGGAGGTGAGACTTGAGACAGTGGAGCTGAGCTGAAGGTGTTCAGTGAGCAGGATGGAGGGAGGGTGGAGAATGAAGATGCAGCTGCAGGCAGGAGAAGAGGAAGACGCTGGGATAGGTTGAGGTGGATGCAGATGATCCACTGTGAGCAGCAGAAAGAAGGAAGGCCCGGTGCGTGGCTCTAATTGGCTCCTCGGGTGTGTCCCTGGTTCTTCTCCTCACGCCCGTGATGAGGGAGCAGTTTTCTTTCAGTGTCCAGCAGCTGTACTTTAAAAAGGACCTCTGTAAAAATAGATTTGACTCCCTCTTATTAACCAACAGTATCTATTAAAAATGGGTGAACCTGAGCTTAGTGCTGTCATTGGGCCTTTGCTGTATTACAACTGCAGCACGCTCACGTTTAACGTGTTCAAGGTGTTTCTGAGACGGCCCTGAATTATTAGGGTTAGTGTGGAAATGTTTTTGCAACCAGGCACATGAATGAGATGCGAGGGTTAAAGGTCAAAGCTTTCTGAAGGCAACAAACACCAGCTGTAAGCCACACGCCTCTTTTTCTCATTTTCCTCACGCTTTTCCACCCTGAAGGTAAGTGCTGTCAGCATGCATCCCTGCTCCAGTCCAGAGGCTTTTCACAAGCCGGCGGCAACACGCCCATTTTTCTTTGCCAGCAGTCACATGGCACAGCCCACCGCTGTTGTCTATAAGCCACGCTGACACCTCATGCTGCCAAATGTCCTCAGCTACTGTTAGCGTCCAGCAGTTCCTCTCCGTGACTTAAAGACCTTTCCTCTTAGTCTGTACCGAAGAGGCCGTGGCAGACATCGTCTTCCTGGTCGATGGCTCGTGGAGCATCGGCGCCGAGAACTTCGAGCAGATCCGCCAGTTTCTGTTCACGCTGATCAATAGCTTTGATGTCAGCCCTGATCACGTCCGCATCGGCCTTGTCCAGTACAGTGACAATCCACTCACAGAGTTTCTGCTCAACACCTTTGAGAACAAGGAGGACATCCTCAACAACATCATCAAACTGCCTTACAGGGGGGGCGGCACCATGACTGGTAAAGGCTTGGAATTCATGTTGAACGAGCACTTTGTGGGGAACGCTGGAAGCCGAGCTGCGCAGAAAGTGCCGCAAATTGCTGTGGTGATCACTGATGGCAAATCCCAAGACGATGTAGAGTCTCATGCTAAGAACCTGAGGAGGAGAGGGATTGTTTTGTATGCAATTGGTATCAAAGATGCAGATGCAAGCCAGCTGAGGGAGATTGCAAATGACGATCAGCATGTTTACAGTGTGTCAGATTTTGCAGCGCTGCAGGGAATTTCTCAGAACATCATCCAGACGTTATGCACAACTGTAGAAGAAGCCAAACGACAAGTCCTGCAACTGTCTCCAGGTAAACCCCAAAAGGTTGATTCTGTTCATCTGGACATGGTGTTTTCAGAACGTTCGGTCACTCATCCAGGTGACGTTATCAGTCTCAGCTGACTGCAGGTTTGCCCAACCTCATAAACAGTGCATTTGCACGATGACTGACACCAGCCCGCTGACTAACAATGGGCTGTGAGGTCAGGTTCATCATCATAAACATGCAAACTGTCGTCTCAAGGTAAAATAAGTCTGAGTAGAAAGGTCTATATAAGAACCAGTCCATTGACCATTTATTAAATATAAAACCAGGAAAGCCCAAAGTTTTTATCTTTCTCGAGAAATGTAGGTTTCGCTGACTTTCCCCTCGTGTTCCTGACTTTCTTCTTCTTCTTTTCCAGAATGTGCCAGAGCCTCCGTGGCAGACATAGTCTTCCTGGTTGACAGCTCATCTAGCATTGGCGTTGATAACTTTGAGGAAATTAGGCAGTTTCTCCGAAGTTTCATTTTAGGCCTCGACATCGGCCCTGACAAAATTCGGATTGGCTTGGCTCAGTATAGCGACGAGACCTACCAGGAGTTTCTGCTGAAAGATCACATGGACAAGGATTCTCTGCTGGCCGAAGTCGATCAGTTTCCATATCGAACAGGAGGCACAGAAACAGGAAAGGCCATTGACTTCCTCCAGTCAGTGTACTTCACTGAGGAGGCAGGGAGCCGGGCGAGCCAGCGAGTTCCTCAGTTTGCTGTAGTCATCACAGACGGGGACTCCACGGATGACGTAGTCGAGCCCGCCAAGCGCCTGCGCGATCAAGGAGTTATCATATTTGGCATTGGGGTGGGAGAGGTTAACCAGCAGGAGCTCGAGTCTATCGTAAACCTACCTGCACACCACTTCCTTTACACAATCGACAGCTACCAGGCTCTACAGCGGCTAACAGACAGTCTGCTGGAAACTGTATGCATCTCCGTGGAGAGTCTGAGTCAAGGTGAGACAAAGAAAACGTCCTTACAGAATTGTTTATTATAAGAGAAGGAAATAAATACCTGAATGCTGCTTATTTTTATTTTCACTGGTCAGGGATTTAAAATGTAACTGCGTCAGAGGATTTCTGCTCAGTTTGAAGGCTTTTCTCATCCACCACTCAATGTGTATGAAACAGATACGTTCTTTGCTTTAAAGCGAATAGAAAGAAAACCCCCGACAGTCAAAGACAACATTTTTTCAGTGTATTTCAACAAATATCAGCCCTCGTTCAAACGTGATTGGTCAGTAGCACGTGGACTCTAAATCACGTTAGACTTTCTGACATTCTTAATCCAGTCTTTATTATTTATTATAATTGAAGAAATTAGGTTGCTTAAGTTACACTTCCTTATTTTTAATGACATTATGACCAGTTTTTCTTTTTTTTTAAACTGGTTAACCATCACTGCTGACTATAACTTCATTAGGGTAAACTTCACGGACCATTGTCCAGCCTTGCTGGAGCCCATTGTTCAAAGTTCAAAGGTCAAAGTTCAACTTTTATTCGCCACATGCAGTGGCAGGTTGCCCTGCAGTGGAATGAACCCGCCCCCCGACCTTACACACATAACATAGACATCACATGGGGATACAAGTCAGAGAACAGTTGCATTACAGAAAAACACTGAAATATACACTACAATGGGAAAGTACAAGAGGAAAAAAAGAGACCTCTACTCATGCTGGGCTATAGAGGACAGCATGAGGACAGGAAACAAAAAAACTCCTCTGCACAGAAAAGCACATAAATGTCCACAGTACAACATTATAGAGCACGTGACCAGCAACAGGGTTGGGT